ACCCCTCCATCCTTGCGGGGTGGATAAAATGAGGCCCCAGTTTGTTGTGGGGGGGGCGATATGCTCACTCTGTAAACCGCTTAGAGAGGGCTGAGAGCCCTATGAAGCGGTATATAAGACTAACTGCTATTGCTAACTGCTATTCCCTGTCCGGCCAGGCTGCCCAGGGGCACAGGAAGCCCCAGCCCTGTTGAGTTGGGGAAGCCTCAGGGGACGGGAGGAAGGGCACTTGGAGGCCCCCGTCTGGCTTCTCCAGCCCTTCCGGGCAACCCCAGATTTCCCTCCCTTTCCAGCCCCTCCCGCCCCCCTCCCCCAAGCAGCCGCTGCCAGCAGCAATGGGTAATGGGCTCCAGTTGGCCCCGAGGGTGCCCAGCATGACTCCTCCTCCTCCTCCCCCCCTTCCTCAGATCCTGCAGAAGCCCAGCCACGACCTAAAGCAGCAGCTGTCCGGCTATTCCAAGAGGGTGGCTGGTTCCGTCACGGAGCTCATCCAGGCGGCCGAAGCCATGAAAGGTAGGCGGGGAGGCCTTCCTCGTAGGGCTCCGGCTCTCTCAGTCTGTTGGGTGGGGGCTCCATCCAAAGGCGGCTGCTCTTGCCCCATGTAACGAGGGGAGGGAGGTGGGAGAGACCCGGTCAGGTGTGGGCTGTGAATGCCCTTTTCAGCAAGAGAAGCCGGGGCATTGGGGAAGCTCTGGACCTCTGTGGCCTCTTGTCCCCCCCCCCACAGGGACCGAGTGGGTCGACCCCGAGGACCCCACAGTCATTGCCGAAAACGAGCTGTTGGGGGCAGCCGCTGCAATCGAGGCTGCAGCAAAGAAGCTGGAGCAGCTGAAGCCGCGAGCCAAGCCCAAGGTGGGCCCCCACCCCCTAGCGACACACGGGAGTCGCTGCCAGCTCAGCTCTGCCCCTTCCGTGCCACCCCGACGGGAAACTGCTGGCTCCCGGGACAGCCTGGGCAGCTCCTTGCAAGACCCCCAGGGCAGGGGGCCTTAGGGGGACTCCGGCCACAGCTCCTAACCCCCCCCAAAAGGACATAGCTCTTTTCCAGCTGGGCTGTGCCTCCGTCCTGGACAGAGACAGTCGGCGGCTTTTTCATGCCCGTTTCGAGCACAAAGGGGGGGACCGGAAATGTTCCCTTTGGCTCAGAGCCCCGGTTGTTACACCCCGGGGAAGCCTCCCCCCCCGCTAATGTCCCCTCCCTCTCCAGCAAGCAGACGAGAGCCTCAACTTTGAAGAGCAGATCTTGGAGGCAGCCAAGTCCATCGCTGCGGCCACCAGCGCCCTGGTGAAGGCGGCCTCTGCGGCCCAGAGGGAACTGGTGGCCCAAGGCAAGGTGAGTGAGTGAGGGGGGGCGGGCACCTGGGCAGGAAGCCCTCCAGTCTGGCCTGGAGCTGACCACTCTATCTTTCTCTGCCAGGTGGGCGCCATCCCAGCCAACGCCCTGGATGACGGACAGTGGTCTCAAGGCCTCATTTCAGCGGTGAGTGTGGAGGGGGCTGGGGGGGGGAGGCTGCCCACTCACTGGAAAGGGTCTCTGCTTGCTTGGAATGACAGAGGGAGGCCCCTCCCACATTCCAGCGTGGGCAGGGGAGCCCTTTGCTCTAACCTGAGCCCCCCAAGCCCCTCCCCAGCCGCCCTGTCAATCAGGGAAGGGAGCGCTTGGGCAGAAAGGGGGGCTCCCGAGTCTTCTGGGGCATTCGGGCTGTGTGGCGAGTGGCGGTGCCTGCAGCGGCTGCCTCATCCTTTGCTCGCCTCCCTCCTTCTTCTGCCAAGGCCCGGATGGTGGCCGCTGCCACCAACAACCTCTGTGAAGCCGCCAACGCGGCGGTCCAAGGCCACGCCAGCGAAGAGAAGCTCATCTCCTCCGCCAAGCAGGTGGCGGCCTCCACGGCACAGCTCCTGGTGGCGTGCAAGGTGAAGGCGGACCAGGACTCAGAGGCCATGAAGCGCCTGCAGGTGAGGAGGGTAGAGGCGCCTGAGGGATTGAGGGGGAGTGGGGGGTGGGACGCCTTCCCTGTCGGCCCCAGTGGCCACTGTTGACCTCTCTCTGGTCCAGTTTGGGCCCTGGTGGACTCAATGATGAGTCCTTGGGTCAGCTAGGGCTGGGCCTCCGTCCAGCACACTGGCTCCAGGGCCCAGGCAGCTCCGTTGCTGGAGGTGAGGAGACCAGGCCAACTGCCCTTGTCAGCCAAATCGGCTCCTCCAGCAGCAGAGGCAGCCATGGGCTAGGACAGTGTTTCTCAACCTTGGCTACTTGAAGATGTCTGGACTTCAACTCCCAGAATTCCCCAGCCAGCATTCGCTATCTATCTATCTATCTATCTATCTATCTATCTATCTATCTATCTATCTATCTATCTATCTATCTATCTATCTATCTATCTATCTATCT